ACAAAGAGAGGTTTAAGAGAGGTTTATTATTATAATATTAGTGAGAGGTTTATTATTATAATATTATTATAAAACCCAGACAACCATATAGATCATGACGATGTTTGTAAGATATCGCAAAAGTATATTGCAATATTCGCATGGTATTCGAGATACGTACATAATATATTGAGTATACACTAATAATTTATTATATCCGTGTTACATCATCCTGTAGATTTTCACTGGTAATTTATGAAGATATACTGAATATAGCTATAGTACGTAAATAGCTTGTCTGAAATGTTACGTCCAGTCCAGAGTAAATTGTAAAATTAAGAATTAAGAATGTAAATGGATGAGAATTGAAGGGCTCGGAAGGACGAACAGCTGCTCTCTCTCGAGAGTCAGGCGTAGAAACGTGATCTCGAGTCGAATGCACTATTTATGTCTCGGCACTGGATCAACGATAAAGAATCGCTATGACGCCTGTAGATGTACGTTCGTTGGTCGTTTTTTAGTAAAGAAACATAATTTTTATTACTAGGGAAAGACCTCGTGCGATCAATGGGATGAGGAAAAGAGATCGAGGATTTTAAAGAAAATTAAAATTAAAATTAAACATGATTTTAATTAGTAAAATAAAGATATACATAATAAAAAACAGAAACAAGAGAAGAAGACATTTGTATAAGAAGAAGAACACATTTGTATAAGCGTGTATATGTATGTGTGATATCGTGGTGTTACATAAGTACGGAGGGCATCGGGTAGGATTCTTACGAGGGAGAGTATGAATGTATGAGTGAATGAATCTTTGGTATGATCCTACTCGATAATATAATTAATATTTTCTGGTTAACTTAACTGGTTAAACTGGTTAAACTAATAATTACATAATAAGGAAACGAAGGAAAAATTACAAAAATATAAGAAAAATTATAAAAAATTGTATATAATATATGTATGGTGTGACTGAAGATTATTGCATAAGGGTTAAGAAGGGGAGTATTCTTGATGTTCCGCGGGAGGTTGTTATTAAATCGATAGGATGGGATTCCTCATCTTCTAAATCCTCAAAAAAAGGTTCACCATCTCGAAATAGAGGACCTGGAATAGGGCGTAGAAGTCAATGAAGTATTTTGCATCGGATGGATGCACGGGAGAATAACTAAATGTAATCGGTTGATTGAACTTGTGTTAAGGCGGAAGGAGGAATAGAATTAGATGAAGATGCTGAAGGTCGGTTTAGGGAAAATTCAGGAATAGTATTAGCTAATGTTAATGATTCAATCTGTTCTTTCGATATCCATTTAAACTTTCGATATCTGTTTAACTTCTTGGTTCGGCCTTGACTTTTCTGTCGATTCCAACCGCCAGAACGACGACGATAAGATTATTCTTTAGTGTCGCGTTGCCGAACTTTGAAGCTGAGACTTCCGTTTGATTCACTAGAAGGAAAAGGATTGATCAATGAAGAAAGGTATGAATACGTATGAAGAGAGAGAGAGAGAGAGAGAGAGAGAGAGAGAGAGAGAGAGAGAGAGAGAGAGAGAGAGAGAGAGAGAGAGAGAGACGA